ATGTATCCTCCTCCATGTTCGAAACTCTCTCGCTTTGTGTTTTAGTTATTTCAACTCCGAGTCAGCTTCGTCAAGGATGTCAAAATGCAGGAGGATCTGTGGGAGAGACAACATGAACTTGCTGCTCTCAAAATTTACTCTATGTGCTCTGACCTTGGTGGCTTCTTCCTTAAGGTCTATTTCTCATCTCACAAGGATGTGTAGACCCTAAGGATGTGCAGCAGTTTTATACCTTTTGATCTTCTTTTACAGATTGCACAAATTCTTGGTAAACCTGACATGGCTCCAGCTGCCTGGGTCAGAAAACTCGTTACTTTATGTGATCAAGCTCCTGCAACACCATTCCATGCGGTCCGACTTGTCTTAGAGAAAGAGTTAGGTAAAAGCATTGATCAAGTGTTTGAAACATTTGATGATAAGCCTCTTGGGTCTGCTTCCATCGCTCAGGTACCGTACTACATTCTTCATCACTCACACTCTGAAAACCTATGGAGAGTACTTTACTCCATGCTTACACAATCAGATTAAGATTCTAGTGTGGTTAAGTATGTCATAACATATATGCATGATCCTTGATTTTCTAGCTCTATCTGCATCGTAATAATTAGATTAGTACTTAATAGATATAATTAAACAGTTTTGCTCTTAGAAGATGTATCATTCAGCTCATCAGTGTTATCGGGAAAAATTCATATCTATATTCTTTTGTTTAGGTTCATCGAGCAAGAGTAAAGGGTGACAAGAGGGATGTTGTTGTTAAGGTAAGACAAGTGCAATCTTCCTTGCTTGCTTTCCATTAGTTTCTGAATGTGCTACGACTTGTTTAGGTCCAACATCCGGGCGTTGAAAAACTGATGATGACCGATATAAGAAACTTGCAAGTCTTTGCATTATACATGCAGAAAACAGATATCAATTTTGACTTGTTCTCCGTAACAAAGGAAATCGAGAAGCAGGTATTTATCATTCTTTATGTCTTGCAAGAGGATATTGGTAAGTATTTTTACTGCTCTAAGTCACTAGAAATCCTCGTGTTTCTTTTTTCAAGATTGGGTATGAATTCGACTTCCAAAGGGAGGCCAATGCAATGGAAAAGATCAGACGTTTTCTTTATGATAACAACAAAAAGAGTCCTGTTCTGGTTCCCAGGGTGCTGCGACATTTGGTGACAAGGTACCTAATGTTTAAGGCTTCTGTGGTTGTCCTGTTTCACTAATCAAGAGTTATGGTTTCTGTCCTTTTCGCAGAATCTCTTTTCATTCAAGATTGTGTATTTTTTTGGGTATTGACAAATGAGTGCTGACCAGAGGAACAATCAAAATTCGTGCAGGAGGGTTCTGGTTATGGAATACATTAATGGAATCCCGATCTTGAGCCTCGGCGATGAGATGGCCAAAAGAGGGATAAATCCTCGTGGCAAATTGGCAGAGTCAGCAAAATGGTAAGCTCCCATATCATTGCCGACTTTTTTCCAATAAGTGAGGCTTCCCTTGATAGCTAATTTATCTTCTAGAAACCTACAAGTTATCTGCTTTTCAATCTTTATTTCTTGGGTGGCATTTGGATTTTCTCTGATGCCGCACTGAGAAATATTTTTATGTATTATCACAGCAATATACTTAGCAGTTTGTCCCAAGCATATGGCCAAATGATACTGAAGAGTGGTTTCTTTCATGCGGATCCACATCCAGGGAATATCTTGATTTGTAAAGGTTCAGAGGTAAGTCATCTTTTCTCTGTAGTTATTCCTAGTTTTTTAATCGACTTACTGTTGTCTCTTGATAGGTTTTGCTTTCTATATATCTTAAGTTGTAATCCTGTTTCCCGTCATCAGGTTGCACTGTTGGACTATGGTCAAGTGAAGGAACTCCCTGACCCCCTGAGGCTTGGTTATGCAAATTTGGTCATTGCCATCGCTGATAATAATGCCTCACTGGCATCACAGAGCTTTAGGTAATTCAGAATAAATTTTGAAGTAACTTTGTTATCATGGTTATGGTTTTAACTGAAGCTCAAAATTGGTTTCACTAGTCAAAAACAACCTCTATTAAAGTTTAGCATGGGATAAGAGTTTTTTGATGGAGGTCATAAGGTAAGATACTAAGATGTATATCTAATGCCGCGACAACCATTAATAACATGTGCTGGTTAGAGTCACCTGGTCTGATTAGTGTAGCATATGATTCCTTAGTTGGTTTGGTGGTGAATTTTCAGGGAACTTGGTATAGCTACAGTTGCCAAGTGTGAGAATGAGCAACAAGAACTTCTCCAGCTAGCAAAAACAATGTTCGACACAAAGATGCCTCCTGGGAAAGCAGTTTTGCAACCTTTCTCGGAAGATTCTTCGATCAAAAAGGTTTCTGTCGAGGTAAAAACAAATATCTATTCATCAAGAAAGTTAGAAAAAAAACTGCAAAAAATCTGACTGTGTTTGTGTGTTGTGAGTAGGCATTTCCAGAGGAACTTTTCTCTGTTCTTCGCACAATAATTCTGTTAAGAGGACTCAGCGTAGGTATCGGGCTCAACTACTCGTGTGCTCAACAGTGGAAGCCAATTGCAAAAGAGGCTTTGCTTGCATCTGGGAGACTCTCAACAGGTTAAGATAATGAACAAGTCTTTTGTAGTACCAAATCGCCTTATATAATGGAAATAATAATTTCAGGTATTAAGCCGAAACGTCGATGCAGCTCTCTGAGAAGGCTATACCCAGGAGATTAAGAACTCAATTAGAGAACATAGGTACTTAATGTTCCCTTTTCTTTTGCAAATGATATTCCAAATCGTTACATTATTTTCTGAATACTATCTTAATTGGTTTACTTGTCTGAAAAGTGAATACACATGGAATGCTGAAACTTCCACATGTGACCCGAACACTCTCCAACTTTCACATTCAATTATACAAATTGATGCAGTTATAATTGGCAAAGTTTACTTGGTTATAAATTATATTTTTCCAGAATTGCAACTTGTCTTTTACTGTTAATGAAAGGTTATGATGGTTCAGAATTGGCAAAGTTAATCGAATGGTCAAGCTGGGCCAAACTTGCATACACTAATCAACAACACACATCAATGAACAATTGGTATAGTTCAAGTTCTCATGTAAGATGCGCACTCGAACGACAGTCTACGATAAGTGAAAGTTTTGCCTTGCTAGGGATATTGAAAGAGCCTGGATTTTTTTTTCTTGACTACCCAATCTAATAATCCATGTGTGAAAAACCTTCTTGCTCAATAGAGTAGCTTCTTAGTTCCCACTCAATATCTTTTTGTGCTGAATCAAGAATGTGAAAAATTTCTAACTAGTTGGTTGACAAAAGAAATGCCTCACTAGTTTGATGTTT